CCCGCCTCCGCGCAGGTGCCGCCGGGGCGGGGAGCGGGCGGGAGGAGGCGCCGGGAGCGGGCCCCAGGCTGCCGCCCCTGGCGGGAGAGTGCCCGGGCTGCAGGAGGGACCGGCCTGAGCGTTCCGCTTCCTTGCTGCGGGAAAGCTGGGCAACGCAGCTTTTTTTCTAGATTTGGAAAGGTGAAGCCCACCGGGAGGTGTTGCCAGTGAAACTTGTCCGTCATCTCCTCCTCCTGTGTGTGTGCCACAGCCAGGCACAGCTGGAGCACCTCCAGAGGAGAGCACAAAGTTCATAAGAGCACTGGAACACCCCCTCTGCGAAGTCAGGCTGAGGAAGCCGGGGCTGTTCAGCTTGGATAAGAGGAGACTGTGTGCAGACCTCTTAGCAACCTTCCGGTATGCGAAGGGAGCTTACAGGGAAGCTGGAGAGGGACTCTTTGTCAGGAACTACAGTGCTAGGCCGAGGGGTAATGGGTTCAAATTGAAAGAGAGGAAATTTAGGTTAGACATTAAGAAAAAGTTCTTTACTGTGAGAGTGGTTGGACACTGGAAGAGGTTTCCCAGGGACATTGTGGATGTCCCATCACTGGCAGCATTCAAAGCCAGGCTGGATAATGCCTTGAGCAGCTTGGTCTAGTGGGAGGTATCCCTGCCCAAGTCAGGGGAGGTGAGACTAGATAATCTTTAAGGTCTGTTCCAACTATTAGACATTCTGTGATTCAATAATCCTATGATAACAGTCCCCAAAATCCTAAAAAATTGAAGTTGCTATTGTCATAATGCTGGGAGCTTGTAAGACCACAGAGGACCCTATGGGGTTTTGATGGCTTACTTCAAGAAACATACTTAAAATCTATAGTGTGCTGTCCTCTCATCTGCACTACTACCTGTCTGGCCAGCCCCAGGCTCCAGATGGAAGCGTGGCACTATGTTCAAGCTGGTAATGTACGTAATAGCCGATGTGACTGCTGGGAATTTGAATTCTGGGGAGCATGCCTGGTGAGAATTGTCACTTGAGCATCTGTTGCTGAATAAGAAGAGCCAAAAATTGGAATAATTGAAGGTATTTCACAGGATAAAGCGTGTAAAATAAAATAATTTTTACTGCAATAGCAAGAATAATAATTTTGGACTGTGAATTGACATCTGCTTCAAGCTTGAGTTACCCCATTAGAATGTTTCTTTTAATGGGAAAAGGAGTCACACTTACTTGAAGGTCAGTGTGTCTTTTTTTTTCCTCTGAGGTAAAAGAAAAAATTATGGCATTGAGTTTTAACATTGTCAGTGGATTGCAAGTCTACTGTGTGTTTGCACCAAATAGCCTTGGAAAGGAGTTACTCTATTTTTCTTATTCTTCATCCTCTCTCTAACGCCTGAGAGGAAACATACAGAATGTTATTCTACATAGGCAATTAACATTTTTCTAAAGAACATTATAGTTTAATGCTAATTAGTTACACTTCTATGCTCTTTTGTCTAAGAGGCCAGGCAGACCTGAATAATAAGCCCAGCTAAAATGTGATTAAGTGTTGTCTCTGAAAGTGTGAGAGCAAAAGGTAAGAGACAGGCTCCTCTAGTAACCTGAAACACTCATGGAAAAGAAAGGGAAGTAGTTGCAGCAAGACTGGAGAAATACTTTGTTCTTTTGCTTCAGTTTTGTGCTGATGAATAAAAATTTGTCCTAAAAAAGCTTGGTCAAAACAGAATGTTCTCCGTGTGCTGGAAAGCAGGCAGCTGTTTGCAAGCAGCTGCTCACAGTTACTGAGCACTCCTCCTGCTCTCACTTGGGCATCTCATGCTTTCCTAGGCTGAGTAGTAGTTATTTGCTTCCTTGGTTTTGAGAGACAGAGCAGAGGGAATCTTAACAGTCCACAGGAGTCAAACCTGTAAAAGTAAAACTTTTTGCAAGGAAAAGGACGTAGAGAGATAGGCACAGATGATAGAGTTTCTCCTATACTCACCCTTTATGCAGGATGCCAAGCTGCTGCTCTAGTGAACACTGCCCATAACTTGCAAAAACCATCCCCAGCTTAGCCAGCGGCACTTTGCTTTCCCTTGCTAGCATTCAGTTATTTCAGTAATGTGGGCGGTCCTACCCAGCATCCAAATCTAGCTCACTCCAAACAGTTAATAGGTAAGCCTGGGAAGGAGTCAGATGTTCCTCATGCATTTTTAAAGTGACCATGAGATAATTAGACTCAGGAAGTACACTGGGATAAAAATGTTAAAATTTGGGTTTAACCAACTGTAGGATAATAGCAATATAATCCTACTGCCCTAAGGATTATAAGCATGGCAGGTTTGAAGCAATCCTCCCTTACCAATATTCCACTTCTTTTTTAAACATTTGACCCAAAATTTAACTCTCTGTAACACTCTCTTCAGTCACTGGTGTTCAAAAATTCCCCTCTCTCCTCAGAAAATGGGGGGATGGAATCTGGTGGGGAAGGATGAGGTGAGGTTTCAGTGGAAACGGTAGACTACAAATAAGGGAACTCTCTTGGATTTTGATTAAACTTGCATCCATTCTAGATTACTGGTCTCTGCTTTCCTGACAAATACCATGAAGGATATGAACAGAAATTAGTGAAAAGCTCTTCCAGAATAGGTTTTGTAATTTAGCTAATAGAAAAAAAGAATGCTTGTTGGATGCCAGTTCTTCTTCTGTCACTGTTGATTTTTCTTGGGCTTGGTTTATATGAATGATTTTACTGAAAGCACTCTGGTTTAAACATTCGTGTGAGAGAAGAAATGGATGCTTCATTCCCAGCCATTGAAAGTTTAGATGTCTTTTTCAGAAAAAAAATAGTAATAAATAGGTTGTCTAGTTTTGATCTTCCTGTACTTTGATGTTTTGCCTGCCAAGGTTTAAAAGGTTTGTGTGCAGTTTGAGTTTGGGATGGGAAAAACTAGGAGTAGCAACCAGTGCGCAGTTGCATGTGTGAGCTGTAATGCACAGAATTAGGTTAGGGACTGTGGGTCTGGTGCTAGGGACTACAGTGTAAATGATGGATGAAAACCAAGGAGAAAGCTTTTTAAGTGGTTGTTTCAAAGCAGTTTGCAAATATAAAAGCATTCTAATGCTTCAGAAATATGTTTGAAAATGCTGATGTCATCATAGAGTAAGCATTGAGTTTAGTTGAGGAGTCTAACTCTAAATGAAATGAATTTCCTTCTTTTTTGTTTAAGCTTGTTTTCTGTTCATTTCAGCACAGGATCACAGACTAGGTTAGTTTGGATGGAATGCCTGTAAGACATTTGGTCTGACCTTTCTCCCCACATACACACTCAGCACCCCTGTTACTTGGCTGTGAGATGTTGCTCTGTGTCATGCCCAGATTAGCTCTGATCACCTCTGAAGGCTAGAGATTCTGCAGTGCACTCTGGGAAACCTGTTTGAACATTTGGCCACATTCATTGTGAAGAATATTTTCTTATCATCTGTTCAAAATTTCTTATTTCACCCCTTTCCTCTAATTCTGCACCTCATAGGGAAGGGCTCTGTCCCCATCCATTCTATAACCACACATCAGGTATTCTGTAAGTAGATCCCTGTTAACCTCTGTCTTCCAGAGTGAGTGAACCCAATTCTCCCAGCCTTTCCTTCTATGCCATCAGCTGTGTGCTGCTGACCTTCCATTGGCCCTCTGGACTCCTTCCAGTATGTCAGAGTTTGCCTTGTCCTGGGTTTTCCCAAACTGGACAAAATATTCCATATGTGGTCTCACAAATGGAAGAAGCAGGGGAAGAATTGCTTCCCTTGTCCTACAAGTCCTATAATTACTGCAGGATTATTGACTCTTTGCCCAGTCATACCCATAGCACTTTATTACTTGTCTCTGCTTTGAGGCTGAGGAATTGTGTCTCAGTCACTTTTAATAATGTATGACTTTGAACATTCATCTTCCCTTTTCCTGAATTTTTTTCAGTTCTATAACTGAAATAAGATTTCTCGACAGGAAATAACTTTCTCGTGTGGTTCTAGTCACATCATCTCTGCATTTTTGTTTGAAGTGGGAACAGATCTTAGATTTGAATTGTTTCAAAACACTGCATTGTGGTTTACTTTTGTAATAATTTCTAAGAACTACTTTCCTTTTTTTTTCTGTAACTCATGAAACATCTCAATTTTGTCCCTAAGTGACAAATGTTCACTTCAGAGCCTGCCGTACAGCTCACTCTGATATTGGGCTTCCCTCCTCACCTCACCTGCCTCACTTTATCTACTTGGAACTTATTTACCATTTTACTGGACAACTATGCTGTTTTGTAAAGTCATGCAGGTTTTTTAGTCTGCCCTTATCCCGACTTTCCTGAATAACAACGTCATCACTAACCTCTAAGCTTGTTCTTCATGATTTTCCAGTTTGTTGTTCAATAGGTTGAAGATCTTGGAGCCTCTCCTGAACGTCAGGAATGATCTCCTTCCTTTGTTTGCTCTTCCTGTCTGTTCCCTATCTTCTAACCAATTATTTATCCACATCAGGGCTTCTTATGTGGATACGTAGCTTCCTTTAAGTCTTAGATGATGAATTCTGCCAAAACCCTTTTTGAAATCCAGGTAAACCAGACTGCCCTCATTCAGAGATTTGTCAGAGAACTCTGGCAGACTTCTGGGGTAGAGCTTTATTAATCAGAAACTATGCTGTCTCTTCTCAGTAGATCATATTTCTTCAGGTGTCCACTTGTTATATGTTTTATTATAATATTGAGTAGTTAACATTAAAAGTTAAGAATTTCTCCTGCATCTTTTCACTAAACTCTGGTATCTTTCCTAGTTACTACTGAATTGTAAAATAACTTTCCAATTAATAATTGGCTAACAGTTTTCTCTTTTGATGCACACCTTCTTAGCCTTTGCAGCATCTCTAATGTCTCTCTTGAGGAATATGTTTGAAACTACATTCCAAGCTCTTAGTTCTTTTATTTAACTGTAATATAATATTTAACTATGGAACAGGAGTGCATTAAGTGTTGTCCTGTGATATGCAAAATACAGTTAGGACTGTGACATATCTTTAAAATATTTTGGGTACAAGTTTCAAAATGCATTTCAAAATACTCTTGTGTTCCACTGAAATATTTATCTGTTGGGCAGATAAATATTTGGACCTGACTGACCTTGTGAACTAAAACTATGTGGTAGCTTGACTGTGGCTTTCTGCCAGATGCCCACACAGCCACCTCATAGTTCCCCTCCTCAACTGGGCAGGGAGAGAATGTAAAATGAAAGGCTCAGCAGTCAAGGATAGGGAGAGATCACTCACCAGTTACTGTCATAGGCAAACAGACTCAGCACTGGGAAATTAGTTTAGTTACCAATCAAATAATGAGAAATGAAAACAGATCTTAAAACCACCTTCCAAACACCTTCCCCCCCTCCCCCCCCATGCCTCTCTTCTTCCCAGGCTTAACTTTACTGCTGATTTCTCACCCTCCTCCTCCCCACAGTGGTGCAGGGGAACAGGGAATGGGAGGCTGCAGTGCGTTCATCACACGTTGTCTCTGCTTCTCCTTCCTCCTCACATTCTTCCCCTGCTCCAGCATAGGGTCCAGCCTGTGGTGCAGCCCTTCAGGAACAGGCTGCCCCAGTGAGGGTCCCCTGTGGGGTCACAAGTCCTGCCACTGAAGTTAGTCCAGTGTGGGTTTCCCACAAGGCCAGAGCCTCATTTTGGCATCCACCTGCTCCAGTGTGGGGTCCTCAAATGGCTGAAGGTGGATCTCTGCTCCTCCATGGACCTTCATGTCCCCTCTGCAGAGGGACAGCTACCCTACCACAGACTGCATCACAGGCTGCAGGGGAATCTCTGCTGCAGTGACTGGAGCATCTCCTCCCTTCCTTCTTCAGTGACCTTGGTGTCAGCAGTGTTGTTTCTCCCACATGTTCTCATTCCCATCTCCTACTGGATGTTGCACAGCAGTTTTTTCCCCTTCTTACATATATTATCCCTGAGGTGCTATCACCATCATTGATGTACTTGGCCCTGACCAACAGCAGGTCTGTGTTGGAGCTGGCAGGAATTGTCTCTACAGACAAAGGGAAAGCTTCTGGCTGGTTTTCATAGACGTAACCCCTGTAGCTCCTCTCCTTCTTCCCCATGCTGCTACCAGAACCTTGCCGTGCCAGGTGCATCATACCAAGTGGCATAAGATGAAAAATCCAACATAAGTGACAAAAATATGAGTGTTGATGCTGCTTTTCATTAAAAAATAGTGTTTGGAATTTTTTTCGCTCACTGCTAGAGGTTTTGCTCCTTAATGCCTGTAAACTCTAAGAGCAGAACTCAACAATGAATTAATGTATGGAAGAATAATGCTTCAGTTTTATATTTTCTGTAATAGAAATCATGATCAGGAAGCTCTAATATCTCCCACATCAGATATTCCTTTTTGTTTGGTAAAAGTGTGTGACGACAGTAGTAAATATTCCATGCTCAAATGCAGTGTTTTTCTTTTCTGAATCCAGGTTTTACAGAATCGAGTTAATGTAGCAATTACATACACTTATTTTAGTATAAAACGTTATTATAAACATTTATATGTCTTGAATTGTTAGAAAGAATAGTATTTCTGATGTAACTGTTTAGGACTTGGGGCAAGGGAATTGACAGAAGAAAATGTAGGGCTCAACACCTATGGTCAAAGCCAGTTAAGCGACTTAAAACAAATGTTTTTAGCCCAGAAATAGTACTGTAGAGCAATCTCATAAAATGTTTATGCAACAATTCAGAGACGTTTAATACCAAACTATGCTGATCTTCTTGTCTGTGTAATCATGCCATGTAGAAGATCAGTAAGAATGATTGATTTTCATGGATCTAATTTTGGAGCTAATTACTGTAATCTCTTAGATGGCATTACCTGTTTGATTATATGTGGTGGAGAATCGATAATGACTTTATAGGTTTAGCTCCACTCTTCGATCAGCTTTGTGTGAGAGCAGGCCAAGCAGGCCGTCAACCTTTTTTTGAGTCTAGGATTTGTTTAGAGTTTATGAAACAGGCAAGCTCATACGGGAGTTGTCACTGTCTAAAAAGTATCAAAATTACTGTGAATCAGCAA